TGGCTGGAGGGCTGCACCCAGAGAGTGGTGGTGGACAGGTCATTTTCGACCTGGAGGGATGTGGGCAGTGGGGTCCCCCAGGGCTTGGTCCTCAGGCCTGCACTGTTCAATATCTTCATCAGCGACTTGGACGAGGGGGTGCAAAGCACCTTGTTCAAGTTCACGGATGACACTAAGATATGGGGAGAAGTGAGCACGCTAGAAGAGAGGGACAGGCTATAACTAGATCTGGACAGGTTACAGGGTTGGGTGGATAAGAATAGGACAGAATTCACTACGGACAAGTGTAAGGTACTGCACCTGGGGAGGAAGAACCAGCAGCATACCTACAGGCTGGGGACCTCCCTTCTTGTCAGCACAGAGGCAGAAAAGGATCAGGAAGTCACTATTGATTCCAAGATGAACATGGGCCGCCAATGTGGAGACACGGTCAGGAAGGTTAACCGCACCTGGTCATGCATCCACAGATGCATCATGAGTAGGTCCAAGGAGGTGATCCTTCCCCTCTATGTGACACTGGTCAGGCCGCAGTTGGGAGTACTGCGTCCAGTTCTGCACACTGCACTTCAGGAGGGATGTGGCCAGCCCTGAGAGGGTCCAGAGGAGGGTCACCCGTATGATCAGGGGGCAGCAGGGCAGGCCCTATGAGCAGAGGCTATGGGACCTGAACCTGTTCAGCCTACACAAAAGGCTGAGCGGGGATCTGGTGGCCATCTACAAACTTGCCAAGGGGAACCAGCAGGCAATGGGAGAGTCCCTGTTCCCCTGAGCACTACTGGGAGTTACAAGGAGTAATGGCTATAAGCTGACTGAGAGTAGATTCAGGCTAGATATCAGGAGGCACTACTTCACAGTCAGGGCGGCTACCCTACCAACTATGAAACTATGAGGCTTCTTTCAGTGAGATGTTGCTTCAGAAGAGGGTTGCCAGCTGGTCCTTCTGGCTGGACAGGCAGGGTGCTGGTCAGGTCAGAGAGGGTGCCATTGGGGGTCATTCTTCGCTGCCTTTTATCCCTCTCTGGCACACTTTGGTGACTCCCCAATTGTCGGGCTTACCCAATCCAGGGGTCGTTGACCTCGTGGGATGTCCCCCTTGGTGGTTGCTGGAGGGCAGCTGTCAGCCCCAGAGGTCACGTCCGCAGGTATGTACAGTATTGGGAGTCTGTTGATAAAGTTTGATTAATTCACTGCTGTGATTAATTCAAACTGGGGATTCTGTACCTTTAACAGTGAAGTTTCAGGGAGTTCCTGGTTCTGTATTGATCCTTTCCTCTCTTTAGTGTGTGGTTTTATAGGTGTTAATTGCCACTCATTAGCCTGCTATCCTGTCTAGCTACTTTGTTATGCAATCAACCAAGATTCATTCAGGCACCGGTGACCAACTCCATACAGAGAAGATCCGGTTTGATTCCCACCCTTGTTACATGGTACAACTTACTTTTAAACTTAAAGTACATTTGTTACAAAGTTAAAAAGCATAGATTATAAAACATAAAAGGGTGAAATGCCATGGCACATACAAGAAATAGACCAACTACAGTATGAGGGGAGGGGGATGTAATGATGAAGAATACTATTTTATACCCATAAAAGCATCTACAAACGATATTTTATTACAAGTACACCTTATATTCTATCAAAATAATAATAATATAATAAAAGAAGAAAAGGGAGGAAGGAAGAAAAGATAGAAAAGAGAAAGCATCCCCAAAAGGGGGCAAATACTGCAAAAGGGGCTTTTTGCCATATGGAGGGGCTTCACATTGGAGGGAGGGACAGGCAAAAGTCGGCTTCTTGCTACACAGTCAAACCTAACACAGTCACAAGATACAACCCCCTCACCTGCCACAGGAGAAGCAGGGGGACCACAGCAGCCAACGTCCCGGTGAAATATTGTTAGCGATTAGATCAAAGGTGGAACCTGTGAGTTCTGCACCCTGAGTGGTGGCAATGCACCGTACACGGGCAGTGTCCAGGAAAAACAGGGCAAGCCAGTTGGCTGCTGCAGTGGAAGATGTCACTTCTTCTATCTGCTGCCGACATGTTCAGAACCAAAATAAGGAGGCAAAAGGCTTAGCCCTCTCTGACACCTCCCCCCAGCAGCATCCTATTTCTGCCTGTGCACTATTGATCACAGCTCCTCAGTCCTATCCACTGCCAGAGCTAAAGCTGGAGCTGCAGCTTGGAAGGTGCAAGGTGCAGCAGGGGAGAAGGAGGTGGAGAGATGAGATGCCATTTGAGCACCACCCGCTCCAGCAGTGTCTGGGACATATCTCACTCACCCCATCGCTATACTACTGGATGAGTGAACCTGCCTTTAAAATCTGGAAATTCCACTACAGTCCATACATCTGCACAGGTTTTCTAATCACACAATCCAGGCTTCAAACAAAAAAAACAACCAAATCAGACAGTAAGTAGAATTGTGCAAGTGGAAGAAGTACTAAAATAAAATCAAAGTTGACTTTTCTGGAATATGCACAATGGTACTGTATTAGCCTGCTGAAACAATGGCTATATAGGCCATATAGCAGGGATTACTGGTTAGCTCACACAAGGAGCTAGTGGGATTGTAATAGGCATTTCCTCAAATGTGCAAGCATGATGCCGGATGCCCTCCTTTAACATAAATGCCATCACATCAGCAGGGAGTGTGGCTCCTTATATTCAGAGAATCATTTGAAATTCTTTATGGTGTTTTGTTTTGTTTTTTAATTCTGTGTATCCCAGGCCAAAGTAGCCAAAACTAATTCCAAATCCAAGTGTCCAGAACCATAAATGGCCACTACTGGCAAACATCCTCCACCCCTATCTGGGGCTTCAGCTGTTCCCAAAACCTTTGGTAGAGATCCTACTTGCAGGCCCAAGGCCAAAGGCCTGGGGGTCCCTGAGTTTTGCTTGCCCTCAGCCATAAGGCACCAGGGGCAAGCCAGGGAGAAGTCTCCCATTTCCATAAAGTGGGTTAAAGCCAAGACCTTCTCACTCCAGCAGCTAAGTGGGAGGTTTACTATACATTACCTTGGCAGGTACTATCCCAGTGCCAGGAGCACAGTCTTCCCCAGCACAGCTAGGAAGACCGCCTCCATGGTCACAATGTTCCCCTTGGCAGGCAAGCATAGACTATGCTTGATCTGAGCCTTCAAGAGGCCGTGTAACGGAGAAGGATGTGCTATCTGTGACCACAAGATGGCACCACGTACCCATGCTAGGCTGGCTCCTCTGACCTTCCAGCCAAATAGCTCACCCACAGCAAAGTCAACACTCAAGTCACTAATCTCCCCTGCTCATCTCCCCTGCTCATCTCCCCGTTTCTGCAGGGGACCTAGAAAGCAACACAGCACAGCAGGATGCGTGTGCATCAGGCAATCCGAGGAAAGCTTCCCTTTTGTATCTAAACCAGGCGCTTTCCTCTACGCTGCTCCCTCACACTAGGGAAAACCTCTTGTGCTGGAGATGCTGCAGAACATTATTGAAGCAAGTTTTGCCACATGAATATCCTAGGCCCTGAGCTACATAGCAGAGGCAAAACCTTGCCTCCTCCTGGCCCTTGCGACCAACTAATAAGTTCCCTCCTGCATCTAACTCCAAATGTGAAGACAGTTCAGCCTCTTGACGCTTGACAAGACTGAAATGATCCCTTAGGTCTGCAAGGCCTAGAGCTGCCTTAACGTAAGTAGGCTAAGAGTACAGTCATGGAGTTATGGGATTGTATGACCTGCTCCCTGCAGGGAAAAGGGTCTGATGCAGCTTGTGTTTCTGCAGGAGTTGGATGATAGAGGCTTCTTACGAATAAAATGATTTGTTATGGCACGTTCCACCCACGTTTGGAGCAGATGGCTCCTGGTACCAAGGAGAGAGGAAAGAAACAGCCATAATTCAGGCTGTTGATGTAAATCAATAAAAGTTGCCTGATTGGTAGCTATGTGACTAGAGGACTAGAAGTATTACTACCTGAAGGAAAGAAACATCCTCCTTTTCTCCCCACCCCAACAATGCTTGAGAACTGAAGTCATCCGATCTCTCCCTTCGAGGAACCTTGCCCTCTCTGGAAGCCTGACCAGCTCCGGAGCCACGTACCACTAGGACTGGTCATATACAACGACTTGCTTGCTAAGATCGTTTCTTGCTAAGATTACGGAAACTGCTAAGATTATATCTATATGCATGCTTCAAGTTAATACTTTGTAATGCTCAATAAAACTGATTTCTCAAAGAGATAACTGGGTTCTTGCTTGGAGAAGATCCATAGATAACTAGGTTCTCGATCGGGGAAGACTGAAGCATACTTTAAGGCAATATTAATCCTGCTGTTTGCCCCCCCTCCATTTGGGAGGAAAACCAGATGCCCCTGGTTCTTAGGGCAACACAAACATCTAAGCACATCCCTTTCTGCAAGACTCTTCTGGCCATTTTCAGAAGACGAGACTTTATTTTTAATTCCCATAATTCATTCACTAGATTCAGGCAGGTTCTTTGGGTAGATGTGACATCTTTTATTAGATCAACTGAGTAGCTGAAAAAAGTTCTTTGCAAGCTTTTGGGCACAATCACCCTTCTTCAGGCATAGGAAGTTTCTGCTGGTCTGAGACTCCAAGGAAGGAAAGAAGCTAAAAGTGTGCCAGGAGGTCAGTGAAAATGTAAATAGGTGGAAATTAGGAAAACAAGGAAAGGGAGAGGCAAAAAGGCAGGGCATGGAGGGAGGGGAAGAACGGGGGGAAGTCAAAAGTGAGTAAGGGAGACTCTACAGTAGTAGTAATGCAAAGTAGAAAAGAGGCTGTCTGTGAGAAAGGATATAGCTGGAAATCAGGAAGACAAAGGGCAGAGAAGGAGGGGAGCGGAGGGGAGAAGAAAAGTGTAAGAGGTCAGGTCTGGCAGGTACGAGGTAACTCAGATGTCAGGCAGGTTGTAATGTGTCATAAGTCCACTGTCTACATTGAGTCCTTGATTGTTCGTATCCAGCAGATTTATGAAGTGAGGTTTGTGGGCTTATCTATGAAAGGTGGTTTGGAAGTTCCCGTTGAGGATCTGAACTGAGAGATCGGAGAGCGAGGGATTGTCCTGTGAGAAATGTGCCCCCACAGGGAGTTGGGTATTCTTGTCTTCGAACGCACACCGAAAATCTAGCATTCTGGTTCGTTCACTAAGTTCAAATTCCCAGATGCGCTCAGGCCAAAGACAACTGTGTTTGGGAGAAGTAAACTCTTGGAGGACAACTATTGCCAAGCTAGATCCGTGCTGTTATCTAAAGACGAGGAAGGATGAGCAGAGATGGCAGCTTTAGTTAATCAGGAATTACACCTGCCATGGGCTTGAATCCGCTCTTCTCCCCTACATTTTCACTCTCAGAGGCAGATAACCCTCTCTATAGCTTGAGTGCCAGGAGATCTCTAATACAACATGGAGAGACGTGTACTGCAGCAGTCAATGTGCTGAGAACAGTCATTCCCATCCACTGTCTTTTTAACAGAGGCCCTTGCTCTAGGAGCTCTTGAGTTGAACTCGCCAATCCCACCCAGGGTCCCTTTACTTCTTTTTAGACATCTGCAAGGATGTAAAGTGTATTTTCATGACACAGCTTTGCATATCTCATTCCCTGCTGCTCTGAGCTCATATAACCATTGAGTGTCACTGGTCATAGTCTGGTGATCAGCATTTGGGTGGTCAAACATACCACAATGATCGTCCAGGCTCAGCTCCTCTGGCTGGTAGTGCCCTGGATCCAGGGTAAGGAGCAGACCACAAAGGAATCTCATGCATTCATATGGCAGGGATCCACGAGGAGAAGGCTTAAAGCATCTAGAGAGATGATGTGCATTTCTCCATAAACTACAACCTACAAATTCCACCGGGTTTCTCGGCTCTTTGGAACATTTCGCATGTGCTTTGTATAGCACCTGGTACAACTGGGGAGAGGGTGCCAGGGGATAAGTCTTAGCAAGTATTCAAGATGCTCATGGGAATATGTTACAGGTCTGATTGCTTAGTTTGACTGGTAAAAGTACATACTTGTATTAAACTTACATTATCTTTGGAAATTCAGGCTCCAGTGGACAAGCTGTGCTGACTCAGACTCCAGCATCCCTGTCCCTGTTTCCAGGAGACAGGGTCACCATCAACTGCAGAGCCAGTTCCAGCATTAAAGCCACATCAGAAGTTAGCTACTTAAACTGGTACCAACAGAAACCAGGGCAGGCTCCTAAGCTCCTTATCCGCTATGCCTCCAGTCGTCCCTCTGGGATCCCAGATCGGTTCAGTGGCAGTGGGTCTGGCACCGACTTCACTTTCACTATCAGCCGGGTTGAAGCTGGAGATGCTGCAAATTATTACTGTCAGCAGAGCTTTCAAAACACGTTCACAGTGATGCAGACCCATACAAAAACCTCCAACCTGAGGCTAAAGTCCAAGTTGCTGTCATAAAGAATGAAACTAGTTGTTTGCATACTCATAACCGATGGATCCTTCTGTTCTGCTTGGAGTTGTTGCTTTTCATACTTCACAGTTTCATGAGCAGCCTCAGGTCCCGCCCTTGGGAGGAGTTGTGAAATTCATCCAAGGCATCTCTCATGCAAAAGGCATAAATAGGCCAGGGAACATGGACTGGAATTCATGATCCCTGACTCCCACCAAGTTCAAAACGAGAGCACAGAATTAGCCCTCCTCTTGTTTATTCTCCTTGCTGGCTATGTGGCTCTTTTTAAATTTCCCCCTCATACAGACTTCAGTCCGGGGATTACTCGGGCTCCAGCATCCCTGTTGGTGTCTCTAGGAAATACAGTCACCATCAACTGCAAACCCAGTTCCAGGGCTAGAAGCTATGTGGCCTGGAGCCAGAAGACACTGGGACAAACTCCTTAAATCCTGGCACTGACTTTACTTTTACCATCAGCTCTTGCGACTGAAGATTATTGTTGCTGGCAAGTTTATAGCTCGCCTCGCACAGTGACACTTCCCAATACTGAAGCATCCCTGCTGTGCTCCTCATGCTCCAATTAACAGGTGGTTCCTGTCTCATTCTAAGCACTGCTTTTTCAGCAGGGGCAAGGTGGGGACGGGGCAGGAGCTTCTCTCCACTCCTGGCACCACATCCCACCATCATCTGTTCCTTCTTGGCAGGCTACTTTCCCAGCATTTCCATTTAAGCCATATATGCAGTAGCATAAGGCAGGGTGCTTGGCCAGGACATCAGCATTGCACAGCCGCTGTCACTGCCCCATGTGCAGTTGCCCCTATTGTCACTAAAGGATCCAGTTTTGCCTCTTCATACATGCTGTGCCTTGGTGTGTATTCATTGGGGCCTACTTTGATTTGGGCTGTTTCCACACTATGCAGTTGGTATATGTAATGATCAATGGTTGTATTAATCCACACCCCAGTGAACCCTACCCCTTCAATCTAGAAAGTCGGAGAACCACTGAGCTAACCTCTGTGAATAAGGAAGCAGGACCGGGCGGCACTGTATAAACTAACTCATTCAGAGAGGTGTGAGCTCCATCGGCTACAGCAGGTCAGGAAGTAGATATTCACCTACAAAAGCTCATGCCTCTCTGCATGAGTCAGTCTATAAGTCAGTTTATAAGTTGCTATCATGCTATGCCTTTTGCTTAAGGTCAGATGTTATATGGTTAACTACCTCTCTCTACTCCAGTAACAACCCACCAAATTTCCCCACAACGGGCACCGGGTGGCACATTCTACTCTCTTTCACTGGGAGATGCTGGGAGTTTAGAAAAAGCAGTGATTATATTCAGTGCCGAAATACAGGTGTGGGAGCTTATATTTCAATGTCTGGCTTTGAGAAGAAGGGTCTACTCTAGGGGCGGGCAAGAAGGAAGCTGGGTGCTGTGTTAAAGGAAGGACAGAGCACAGCAACATCACTTGGTATCTGAGCAGGAGCACAGCACCCTGCAGGGACCATTCTCTTAGTGCTTTATAGCCCCCCACCCCTCTCCACACACATCAGTCATGTGCTGCTGCTGCTGCTGAGTCTTATTGGCTTCCTATAATATTGCTGGGGTGTAGGTTCAGTTTTTGGAGGTCCATGCCAGGACAGGGGAAGCAGGGCTGGCTGGGGATTGGGTTGGGTGGCATGAGGGTATGTGGATAAGTAGCAGACCCTGGGGGTGGGGGATGTGGCAGTACAGCATAAAACTATTGCATCAGTCAAACAGACTTGCCAATCCAAGAACAGTTTTTTACTGCAAAGATTTTACTGACAACCAATTCTGTTGTTTTTGGTTTTTGGTTTTTTTTTTACTGTGGCTGGTGTTAAACCCTAAATTTGAATGCAGCTCTTCCAACTGGGGCCTGACAGAAGAGTTGCATTTACATCATATAAAACACATATCAGTAAAAATGTGTGTCAGTAAAAAAAAGTTTGGTTGTCAGTAAACAGTTTGCAGAATTGTTAGTAATTTTTGTGTGTGTGGATTGGCAACCCTTTTGGAAGATCATATTACAGTAAAATGCCTGTGGTCTGGCATTCTATGAGCTGGAATACTCTATGAACTGGAATTTCAGTCTGACCGGCCAGATGCAGAAGGCTGGCAGGAAAAGCGCACACGCGGCGGCTGATGTTGCCACCCTCCACCCTGTGCTATTGCTGCTCATCATGCAGCCGCTGCCACCTCCTCTTCCCCCCGCTCCAAATTTTTACATAACCAGCATCTGGTATTCCCCACTCATGCCAGATAATAGGGATTTTACTGTATCTATATCATCCTCATAACAAGGTTCCTAGTATTAAAAAATCCAGAGTAAAGGAGGATAAGAAGGAAGTGCTGGATAATTTACTCCATAATAATAAGTGATTTCAATTCAAATAAAGTAAAAATACTTCAGAACATATTACACAAACCAATTTGATTTCTTTCTTTGACAGAGCAAATAATAGATGAACATAATATACTCGGTATTTTGATACAATCCCACATAACATTCCCACAGGGAAACTAGAGATGCCACCTACCATAAATGGATCTTTGTCAGAATAGCAGGATGCCAGAGGGTCTGTTTGGGTCCACCCTTCTTTAAAGTTTTTATTAATGATTTGGATAGAGCAAAAGAGAACTTCCTGATCAGATGCACAAAACTGGGAGGCTTGCAAGGACCTGGAAAGATAGAATTGAATTCAAAGGGATGGCTATGGATTGGAGATCTGGACACTAGATGACAGAATAAATTCAAAGGCAAACTTAAGGTGTGACATGTAGGGAAGGAAAACCAAGGGCACAAACACAGAGTGGGAGATGAGTACCTACCTAGCAGTACTATGGTTTCCATGGTGTCATGGTTAGCACTCTGAATTCAGTGATCTGAGTTCAAATCTTGGTGGGATCTAAAGATTTTTAGACTAGACATTCGGAAGAAACTTCTTTACGGTAAGAGTTACCACAATCTGGAATGCACATCCAAATGAGGTGGTGCTGTCCCCTGCCTTGGAGGTCTGTAAGAGGAGAGTGGGATTGTCTCACCCCAGTGATCTTTCCTGCCCGGGCAGGGGGTCGGAGTCAATTGTCTAATGAGGTCCCTTCCAATCCTAGAAATCTATGAATGTGTGGGATTTGGTGGATCACAGACTCTTATGAGCTATTCAATGCAGTTGCCAAAAGAGCAAAGGCAGCTTTGGGCTTTATTACCAGGAGTCTTTCACAAAACACATGGGAGGTAACAGTGGAGGTAACTCCACTTGAAGCTGTTTAGACCACAGTAGGGCAGCTATTTAAGAAGAATGTGAAGAAACCGGAGAGGATCCAGATATGAGCTACAGAGTTGAAAATGTAGCGGGATAAAAGCTACAAGAGGAAAAACCGAAAGAACTAGGTTAAGTTAGTCTGTCTAGCATCTGAGGGCTTTGGTGGATCACAGATAAACTTTTTTTAGTTTGTCTACAGCTCCTTCTAGGTCAGGGGCAGGCAAAATACAACCATGGGAATGATCCAGCTAGCCAAGGTATTTTATCAGGCCTGTTGAGGGTCCCTAGGCCTCACCCAGCCCAGGCATGGTGGGCAGCCTGTGCCCTGGCACGTGCAGCTGGTCCCACCACCCCCAGTGCACAGCAGGGCTGGAGCAATGTGGTGAACAGATTCTGTTTCCCAGCAGCTGAGGGGCATGTGGGCAATGTATCATGGCTTTGCCCTGGGCCCCACTATTCAGACGCTATTTTCAACAGCGCCTGAAAATAGGATGGGAGGGCAATGCCGGGACTGGGATCACAGGGCGGTGACAGCAGTCAAGGGCACTGGTTCCACAGGCAGGGGCATGAGGGCAACGTATCATGGCTCTGCCCTGGGCCCCAGCCCTGTGCTGTCACCACCTCACAATCCTGGCCCCGGCCCCAACCCCGGCCACCCGGCCCACTCCTAGACGCCACTCCCCACTCACTTGTGGCCTCATCCCTTCCAGCCAGATATGCATGCCCTGCCAACGGGCATCCCAAGCTGGTCTCCATGGAGACCTCAGGGTTGGGGTCACCAGCCAGTGACAGCATGGGGATGGGGATGGGGACAGGGATGGGAACAGGTCCCAGACATGGAGCACAGCTACTTAGGAAGCTCTGGCAAGCTGTTCTGGGACAGGGGAGGGGTGCTGACCCAGCTCAGCATGGTGGGGGGAAGAGGAAAAGGGTGCTGACCCAGCCTGCAAGACCGCACAAATACTAAGTAGCCCAGCTGCAGCCCAAATAATTGCCCACCCCTGCTCTAGGTAGTAGCACCAGGACCAGGATCTGAAGGGTTACATGTTGCAATACCAGTTTCCTTGTGAAGAGGCTTTGCTCAGAAGCCTAAGAGCAACCCTGACATGTGGCAGCCACTGCTGGCACCATCTACTGACTCCAGAAGTGGCAGGCTGGCTGCCTTCCCTCCCGAAACAATTAGAAGAGCAGTTAGCCCCACTCCCCCAACATACCAGGGCCCTTGAGGATGCCCACAGCTGAGACGGCGCAAAGGATTCCTGGCACTGCAGCCCCAGAGTCAGTGCAGACCTAGCTTTTCTTCTAGGCCCCAATCACTTTTAGATATTTAAAAGTATTGAGAGAAGAGGTGTTGAGCCCAGCTCACTTCTTCACCCATCTTTCTATTTATCTTATATATTCCCTTCCAGATTCTCTTGGTTCTAGGAACCAGGATGCAAGCCCAGTACTATGAAATGTTATTCTGAGCTGGGATTTACCTCTGGCCAGTCATCCTATGGCAGCTGCAGCAACCTTTAAGGCCATTAGGCTTTTTCTATTATCAGATTACAGCAGAGGACAAGAGATTTGGCTAGCAATTCACCTGAACCCTTCTCCCGCCCGTCCGCGGGTGCTCTGACACCAGCCAACAGAGATTCTTCACTGCTGAGCCAAACCTCCCAAGCAGCCCTGGCTGGGGGCAGTGCAACCCCCTTGTTCCACAAATGGGCTCACTGGGAAGACTGAG